GCACTGTATTACACCCACTATACAGGTAAGGTAGCTTAATTCAGAAGCCCTTCATTTATCCTGTAATGTGTTGAATCACTTGAGAGAAAGCAAGAGCAAGAGAGAAAGAAATAAGGCAGAACCAGTGGACGTAGTGTATTTGGATTTTCAGAAGGCTTTTGATAAAGTTCCACACAGGAAGTTAGTAAACAACATTAAAGTACATGGAGTTTGGGCTAATTTACTTTACCTCTATGCTTTAGCTAATTAAGGCAATTATCATGTAGGTTGTCCTGATAACTCTTATTGTTCTTATGTGGTTGACACATCTTCAGCAATAGCTGGTAAAGATTCTTCCTCATGAGAGAAAGTGGTGGGGGTGTGAATTGGTTAAAAACACTATCGTCAATGCCAGCAGTAAAGAACCACAGCTGGTCTTATCCGTAGGGGTTTTGTATGTTAGTATTAGAAATGTTTCTTTGAAATCCTTGTCCATGGCTATACAGTATTGGAATGACTGTAACAGGCCAGTCTCTTTAATTAAAGCCAGTGAAAGGGCCTCTCACTGAATTAGGGATGTATTCCTTGAAAGGAATGGGGGAGGAGGGATACAGTTTTGATGTTACTTAAATAATAGCCAACTGCCAACTTCAAAGATAGCAGCTATAACTCATCCAGACCATGAACTAAAATAACCCACGAGCTTAACACGCTAATGTTAAGAGAGAAAAAGGAAATTGCTAATGTCAAGAAAAAAAGAAGGAAATTTATGGTAACATTCTGAAGCAGGAAAGTGCCCTTTTGTTGGTTTAACTGATCTGCCACCTTGTTATGATATCGTTCATTCTATTCTCCCTCCAGAAATACATTTAACTGTCTCAAACTCAATGACAAACTGATGGTCAGATCATCTTGTAGGGCTGAAAGTAGGAGACAACCCTGCACCAGGGGGCATATGGGATTCTTGGGTGCCATTGCTGGCAGTGGCAATGTAACAGGCTGCTGCTATTGCCAGGGCTGCCATCCAATTGAGAACAGCCTGAAAATGTCATGGTCACCTGGCAGCCTCAACAATGCCAAAGCTAGCAGTGGATGGTGCCAAGGCTTCATCATCAAAGAGACGGCACTTCAAAGCTGAGCGTTACAAACGTACGAACAAGAATCAGCTGCCCAGCCCTTTAAGCCTGCTCCATGGCTGACCCCATTTTAACTTCAACCCTACATTCCCACGTATCCCTGATAATCTTTCATCACCTTGGTAATCAAGGTACCATCTATTTCCATATTAAAAATATTTAAAGATTCTACATTCACTGCCTTTTTAGGAAGGGAATTCACAACCCTCCGAGAGAAAAAAACGTTTCCTCATCCTTTCAAAATCTACATAGTCAAGTCCTCTCAGGTTCTTATAAGTTTCACCCTGACTTCTAAACTCCAGAGGATACAGGCCTACCCTTTCCAGCCTTCCCTCATAAGGCAATCCACTCATTCCAGGCAGTAAACCTTCTCTGAACTGCTTCCAAGGCATTAATATCCTTCAATGAATACTGACCACTGTTGGACATAATCCTCCAGATGATGTCTCACCAGTGCCTTGTACAACTGAAACTTAAGCTCCCTACCCTTGCATTTAATTTTTTTCACAATAAACATAACATTCTATTAGCTTTCTTGCTTACTTGCTGTACCGGCATACTAACTTTCTGTGATCCATGTGTTAGGACACCCAGATTTCTTTGCATCTCAGAGCTCTGCAACCCCTCACCATTTAGATAATATACTTTTTGCTTTATTTTCTGCCACAACAGTCAATTTCCCACTTTTCCACATTGTACTCTATTTGCCAGATCTTTGTCCACTCACTTAACCTTTCTCTACCCTTTGTAGGCTATTTAAGTCCTCTTCACAACTCACTTTCTAACCTATTTTATTGCATTAGCAAATTTACCTCTCATACCTTTGATCCTTCATCGAAATCATTTATATAATTTGTAAAGAGTTGAGGCTCCATTACTGACCCCTGTGGCCCTCCATTCATGAGATCCCATCAGCCTGAAAAAGATCCACTTATTCCTACTCTCTGCTTCCTGTTAGTGAGCCAGTCTGCTATCCATGCCAATGTTATTCCCAACACCATGAACTTTTATTTCCCACAATGACCTTGGATGTGAACCTCATCAAATGCCTTCTGGAAGTTTAAGTCCAATACATCCATTAGTTCCTCTTTATCCACAGCTCTATTTACTTCTTCAAAGAACTCCAGTAAATTAGTTAAATATGATTTGCCTTTGACATAACCATGCTGGCTTTGCCTCATTACTTTGAACATTTCCAAACTCTGTTATAATGTACTTAATAATAGTTTCTAACATTTTTCCCATGACAAATGCTCAGCTCATCATATCCTGATTTCTGCCTCCCTCTCTTTTTGACCAAAGGAGTTACATCAGCTGTTTTTCCCATCGGAAAAAAAAACTTTCCCTGAAACTAACAAGTTTTGGAAAATTAAAACCAATGCATTAACTATTATACTGGCTACTTCTTTTAAGACCCTAGGATGAAACCCTTCAGGACCTGGGACTTGTCAACTTGTAATTCTAACTATTAATTGGTATTTGTACATTTTTTTGAGTTAACCTTCTCTTTCAATTCCTGATTTACAGCTCTAGTGAAGACCAATGCGAAAAATCTGTTCAATTCATCTGTCATCTCTTTATCCATTATCTTTTTCTTGATTCTCCAGACTCTTTTTCTTTTGGACTGACACTTACTTTATGAACTCTTTTTTTAAAATACCTGAAGAAAAATTTCCTGTCTGTTTTCATATTTTTGGCTTACTTTCTTTTTTTTTAGTTACCCCTTCCTTATAAGTTTTTAGTAATTCTTTGCTTTTTTTAGATCATGTCCAATCTTTTGACCTTCCACCTCTGTGTTCAGAATTATATGTCTTTGAGTTTGATACTATCTTTGACTTTTTAAGTTAACCATGTGTGGTTGGGTCTGTCCCTTAGAAATGTTCTTATTTGTTGGACTGTAGCCCCTCTGTGCTTTCTGGAATATCCCCTTAAATGTTTGCCACTGTATCTCTTTTGAACTATCCTATAACTTAAATTGCCAGTTCACTTTTGCTAGCTCTTTTCCTCACGTCCTCATTGTTGCTCTAGTTTAAATTCAAAATAGCAGTCCTGGACCCACACTTACATCCCTTAAACTGTATGTAAAAGGAATGCAATAACATTGGCAAAGACATGAGACTTAGTTTTGTTTTGGTGCAGGGGGTTGGGGGGGTGGGGGGCGGGGTGGTGAGTGGGCTGTGACTGGGCCAGCTGGCTGAAAGAGCTGGTAGGTGAAGAGGAGGTTATTCCAATGGTGGTGAATGAAGCACTGGGTGTCAGTTGCTGCTTGGGCATCCCCCTTTGTGGAGCTGCCCATCAAAAAGACTCTCAGCTAAAAACCTGTTGGGAGGCCTCCAAGGTTTACCTGGCATCCTCCCATAGATTTTCTGACATGGGGCAATTTTCTGTGGAAATGGCAATTGATTGGGTGCTTAAATGGCTGAGCTGGCAGCTTGAGATCAAGATTGCAACTTCTGTCAATTTACCATGGCAGGGGTAAACTACCATTAACCTATCCTGACGCCCACACCTGTAGCATTGCTTGCCCTTTTACCTCTCAACCTGTTGTTTAAACAGCTCAGAACATTCACTCCAAATTCTGTCACCTCGCCTCATAACATTTTGGACAGATCTAATAATATCGTTCAGGTGATCGTTGTTGACTCACGTTTATTTATGAATCTCATACAGAATTCTTGCAGTGGAATTCAGGATTTTTTGTTTAAAAAAGTGAACTTTTGTTTCATGTTTTCCTATTTAACAAGCTAAAGTCAACAGATTTTTATTGATGCATAGCAATGTTACACTTAACATCTATACATCAATGTTACAGCTAATTTGAGTTCCAATACACTACAGAGTTGAAGTGGTTTTAGTTGCAGTGATGCCAAAGTTGACTCTTCATTTGACTCCAGAACAAAGGAAACTGGAATTTCAACAAAGCGTTTGCCTGACTTTACTTCCACTGTTTCTTTCGGAATGATATAGGAACTTGAGTAACTTTGGATTTAAACAATGAGCTCTAAGATGCAATTCTCCAGTCCAAAAAGAGGAGCAATGAAAACAATCATTGCTCCTCTGCTGAACCCTCTCTGAGATCGTCATAACCTGTTAAAATTCCCAGCATTGGGCACAACACTCCAAATCTAAAGAGGCTCGTTGTGACATATTTTGCCTTTGAACACTTAAATTCTATTTAAGCCTTCGTTCTCATGTTTTTTTTGAAAAGATGTTTTTTCACCCTGCACTATTATCTTCAATGATTTATGCACATGTACTGCCAGGCCTCTTTACTCCTGCACCAGCTGTAGAATTGTACAGTTTATATTGCTTCTCCTCGTTTTTCAAACCAAAATGCATCATTCACACTTAAATTTAATTTGTCATATGACAATCCATTTTGCCAGTCTGTGTCTTAATGAAGCCTATCTTTATGTTTTTTGCAGTTCACTACCCTTCCAGATTTTGAAATTCTGCCCTGTACACTCAAGTCCAAACCATTAAGAGATATCATAAACAGCAATTGTCCCAGTACTGATCCCTACAGAACATTCATATAAACTTCATCCCATCTGAGACCCAGTTGCTAACTGTTTCTCTCTGCTTCCTGTAAAATTATAAGTTTTGCATTCTTGCCACAATATAGGTAGGTATAAATTGTCACGAAGATGACATGAAGACAAAATACACGAAGGGAGGTTTTATTTTGTTATTTGTTACAAAATTACGACTTTGAATATAAAAATGCACTCATGAGTTTGTTATTGATTTTAAAAAGATTGCCAATATAGAAAAGTATTGTTACTTTTAATTGTGTGCATATCACAGTTTGTATTACACCATTGCGAATCTAAATCTGTATTGAAAGACATTAAAGATTTAAGCAGTTTTTTTGTTTTCTCACAGATCAGCCCCAATGAATGATATAACTGTCATGCCTGTGGATTTTTGTATAGCACCATTCAAGTTCCTCTCCATAGATTAAACTACAGAACAATAAAGAAGAACAATGGTCATGGATACATCACTTTGCAATCAGAGCAACATGAAGACTGAATATCTTTGGAAGCCATCCTTTCGACAATAATTTTCTGAGTTATCTTAGTGTCTTCAACTATCAGTGTAAAATTGTATCTATATATCTGGCATATTTTATAAAATTATTTACAAATTATAGTTAACAGAATTACCTGGGATAAACATGGTCGGAATGTAAGGGAACTAGGCAGCACTGTTCACTCAATTGCATCGCTCCTCACTCCAGCACCTTTTAACAGTTTGAGAGATTGCCGTCAAAAAAGACCAGAGCATGATTGGATGTTAAGTTATCACGATCATGAGTGAATTTTTTGTTACGCTCATTTTTTTTGTTTGGGTTGTGTATATACACCAAAGCTGATTTGCTACTACTTAGTATGTATATATATTTCCAAATCCAATTGTCGCAGCTATCTGCCTACTCGAGAAATGATCAGAATTTCTTGTTCCCACCAAATTATCTCTTTCTAGCTGTCATGGCAACCAAAGTTTGATCAAAATTTGAAAGTAGCTCTCACAAACCTACCTGGGTTTAAATCCTCTATATTCCATCAGGAATTTCTAAAGTAACAAATAAAAGTTGATTTTAAAATGAAATTCTTCTGACTCTTATCAATGAATCATTTCTATATTCTATCTAAATGACTTCTGTGCCTGTGGGCTTTTGATGCAGGAGAGCGTATGAGTATTGAATTGTGACAGTCCTAATATTTGATTACATCCCAATTATCTTTGAGCCTCTAGAAACCTGCCAAAGTTAAAAAAGAACTGGTAGCTTCTTATCAAGTGAAACAGGGTTAAATAAACTGCCAGGAAATACGGGAGATTAAACTACAGGAGATAGTACATGTAGGCAACAAACTGCAGAGAAGCTAAATGCTACAGGTGCTGGAAACCTGAAATATAAAACGGAAGATGCCTGAAATACTCAGCAGGACAGACCGGAGAGGTAGAAAAGTGAGTGTTTCATCCCATGACTTGTAACATTAACTCTGTCTCTCCTGTACAGATGCTGCTTGGCATGTATTTAACACCTTTAATGTTGCAAAACGTGAGTGTTAACAGACCAATTTTGACAGTTGACCAAAAGCTTAGTTGAAGAGGTTGGTTTTAAGATGAGTTTTAATGGAGGAGAGAGAGAGAGAGAGAGAGAGAAAGAGAGAGGTGGATTGAGAGGAAGAAATATAAGAATGGAATTCCAGAACTTAGGTTCTCGGCAGCTGAAGACATCGACACCCAATGGTGTAGCAATGAAAATTAATGACACAAGGAGTCAGAATTGGCAGAGTGCAGACATCTTGGAGGGTTACAGGGCTGCAGGAGGTTAGAAAGGGGGCTGAAGTCCCTTAGTTGATTGAAAACAAGGTTAGGAATTTTAAATTTGGGTCCCTCCCGGAATAAGAGTTAATTTTATTTCAGAAAACATCATGGCTATGGCTGGATGGAACTCAATTATTCAAGTCTGGTTAATCGAGTTCTATTTTCTAAGAAGGTCATCACTATATCAGACAGAGGAAATAACTATCGATGTTGCCCATCACATAGTGTTAACAGCACAAGAATATGCAATTTTGTCTAAAATGTGCATTCCAGTGTTTATGATTCACATGAGCCGCCATCTACCTTTCTTCCTGCAATCTCATCAGTACTTCATTATGCCTCACTCCCACAAATATTTAGTTAACACCCCTGTAAATGAATTATTGTTCGCCTCCTCTACTACTCTTTGTGGACACTAGTTCCTTATACCAAACACTCTGAGTAGAGATGGTCCTGCTGAATTTCCCTTTGGGAAACGTATTCCCTACATCTTGATAACGCTGTGTAGATTTCTAGTAGTCATTTCTGACAAAAATGCAAGCATACAGTATTGGATATAATTTTGTCATGCGGGTGGTTAATTGGTTGGCGAATAAGAATAAAGAAAATATTTTCTAACTTGCAGGATATAACAAGGGTGATGTACTCCAACACATACTTCAACACATAGTTGGGTGAGGGAATAGGGAGTTGGATTTCACATTTTGCACGTTGCTCTAAACCATGAGAGGCAGACCACAAGATTTTATTAGGCAGGTGCGTTAGGAGATGAGAATGCCAGCAATTCTACACAGATGAGAGGTGTAATGGATTCACAGCTCCGAACGCCTCTTGGCAATTTTTTCACAAAGTGATATGCGAGAGGGTGGGAATACACAAAGAAGTGAGAGGACATCAACTGGTTTAATTTATTTTTCAGTCGTGGGACATGGGTGTCACTGGCTGTGCCAGCATTTATTACCCCTTCCTAGTTGCCCTTGAGAAGGTAGTTAGGAGCTGCCTTCTTGAACTGCTGCAGTTCACCTGCCGTAGTTTGATTCAGAATCCCCTTGGGGAGGGAATTCCAGGATTTTGACCCAGTGACAATGAAGGAATGGTGATATATTTCCAAGTCAGAATGGTGAGTGGCTTGGAGGGGAATTTGAAGGTGGTGGTGTTCCCATGTATCTGCTGTCCTTCTCCTGCAAATAGAAGTGGTCATGTGTTTGGAAGGTGCTGTCTGAGGATCTTTGGTGAATTTCTGCAGAACGTCTTGTAGATAGCACACATTGCTGCTACTGAACATTGGTGGTGGAGGGAGTGGATGTTTGTGAATGTGGTATCAATTAAGTGGGCTGCTTTGTCTTGGATGGTGTCAAGCTTCTTGGGTGTTGTTGGAGGTACACTCATCTAGGTAAGTGGGGAGTATTCCATTACACTCCTGACTTGTGCCTTGTAGATGGTGGACGTTGTTTGCGGGGTCAGGAGGTGAGTTACTCACTGAAGTACTCCTAGCCTCTGACCTGCTGTTGAATCATTGAATCCCTAGAGTGTGGAAACAGGCCATTTGGCCCAACAGGTCCACACTGACCCTCTGAAGAGCATCTCACCCAGACCTATCACCCGCCCTTTCCCTCTAACCCTTAATTTCCCATGGCTAATGCACATTTTTATTTGGCAGGTCCAGTATGGTTTTTGGTCAATGATAACCCACAGGATGTTGACAGTGGGGTATTCAGTGATGGTAACACCATTGAATATCAAGGAGTGGTGAAAAGATTGTCTCTTGTTGGTGATGGTCATAGTCTGGTGTTTGTGTGGTGTGAATGTTACTTGCCAAATGTCAGCCCCAGACTGGGCATTGTCCTGATCTTATTGCATTTGAACATGGACTGCTTGAGTATCTGAGAAGTCACAAATAATGCTGAATATTGTGCAATCATCGGCAAACATCCCCACTTCTGACCTTATGGTGGAGGGAAGGTCATTGATTAAGCAGTTGAAGATGGTTGGGCCTAGGACACAACCCTGAGGAACCCCTGCAGAGATGTCCTGGAGCTGAGATGATTGACCTCCAACAACCACAACCATCTTCCTACATGTCAGGTATGACTCCAACCACCGGACAGTCTGCCCCCTGATACCCATTGATTCCAGTCTTTCTAGGGTTCCTTGATGCCACACTTGGTTGAATACAGCCTCGACGTCAAGGGCTGTCACTCTCAACTCACCTCTGGAATTCAGCTCTTTTGTCCATATTTGAACCAAGGCTGTAATGAGGTCAGGAGCTGAGTGGCCCTGGTGGAACCCAAACTGGGCGTCACTGAGCAGGTTATTGCTGAGTAGGTGCTGCTTGATAGCGCTGTTGATGACACCTTCCATCACTTTACTCATGATTGAGAGAATAGACTGATGGGGCAGTAATTGGCCGAGTTGGATTTGTCCTGCTTTTTATGTACAGGACATACCTGGGCAATCCACATTGTCGGGTAGATGCCAGTGTTGTAACTGTACTGGAACAGCTTGGCGAGGGGAGCCGCACATACTGGAGCACAAGTCTTCAGTACTATTGCCAGAATGTTGTCAGGGCCCGTAGCCTTTGCAGTATCCAGTGCCTCCGACCATTTCTTGATATCACATGGAGTGAATCGAATTAGCTGAAGACTGGCATCTGTGATGCTGGGGACCATTACAGGAAGCCAAGATGCATCATCCACTTAGCATTTCTAGCTGCAGATTGCAGCAAACGTTTCAGTCTTGTCTTTTGCACTGATGTGTGGAACTCTTCCATCTTTCAGGATGGGCATATATGCAGAGCCTCCTCCTGGAATAAGTTATTTAATTGTCCACCACCATTCACAACTGGATGTGGCAGGACTGCAAAGCTTAGATCTGATCCATTGGTTGTGGGATTGCTTAGCTCTGTCCATCACTTGCTGCTTATCTCTTTGTCATGCAAGTAGTCCTGTTTGGTAGCTTCCCCAGATTGACAGCTCATTTTTAAGTATGCCTGGTACTGCTCCTGGCATGCCATCCTGCACTCTCCGTTGAACCAGGGTTGATCCCCTGGCTTAATGGTAATGACTGGAAAAATATCAGGAAAGTAGAACCAATCTGAAACGAGGAATTAAGAGGGCTAAAAGGGGTCATGAAATATCTTTAGCAAACAGGGTTAAGGAAAATCCCAAAGCCTTTTATTCATACGTAAGGAGCAAGAGGGTAACTAGAGAAAGGGTTGGCCCACTCAAGGACAAAGGAGGGAAGTTATGCGAGGAGTCAGAGAAAATGAGTGAGATTCTTAATGAGTACTTTATGTCGGTATTCACCGAGGAGAGGGACATGACGGATGTTGAGGTTAGGGATAGATGTTTGATTACTCTAGGTCAAGTCAGCATAAGGAGGGGGGAAGTGTTGGGTATTCTAAAAGGCATTAGGGTGGACAAGTCCCCAGGTCCAGATGGGATCTATCCCACGTTACTGAGGGAAGCGAGAGAGGAAATAACTGGGGCCTTAACAGATATCTTTGCAGCATCCTTGAGCACGGGTGAGGTCCCGGAGGACTGGAGAATTGCTAATGTTGTTCCCTTGTTTAAGAAGGGTAGCAAGGATAATCCAGGTAATTATAGACCGGTGAGCCTGACGTCAGTGGTGGGGAAGCTGCTGGAGAAGATACTGAGGGATAGGATCTATTTACATTTGGAAGAAAATGGGCTTATTAGTGATAGGCAGCATGGTTTTGTGCAGGGAAGGTCATGTCTTACCAACTTGAAAGAATTCTTTGAGGAAGTGACAAAGTTGATAGATGAGGGAAGGGCTGTAGATGTCATATACATGGACTTCAGTTAGGTGTTTGATAAGGTTCCCCATGGTAGGCTGATGGACAAAGTGAGGTTGCATGGGGTTCAGGGTGTACTAGCTAGATGGATAGAGAACTGGCTGGGCAATAGGAGACAGAGAGTTGTAGCGGAAGGGAGTTTCTCAAAATGGAGAACTGTGACCAGTGGTGTTCCACAGGGATCCATGTTGGGACCACTGTTGTTTGTGATATACATAAATGATCTGGAGGAAGATATAGATGGTCTGATTAACAAGTTTGCAGATGACACTAAGATTGGTGGAGTAGCAGATAGTGAAGGGGACTGTCAGAGAATGCAGCAGAATATAGATAGGTTGGAGAGTTGGGCGGAGAAATGGCAGATGGAGTTCAATCCAGGCAAATACGAGGTGATGCATTTTGGAAGATCCAATTCAAGAGCGAACTATACGGTAAATGGAAAAGCCCTGGGGAAAATTGATGC